ATGTCTACTTGATAATAATGTTACTACAACTATTTATATTGACCGGGTTATTAATGCCGCTAATATATGTAGATGGGTAATAACATCTAATAGCCTCACTAAATGTAAGTAAATGTCAAGTACTGAACCAAAAGTTTAGGAATAGCCTAAAGAAAAGCGAAATATGCTCTAACTGCCGCTGATTTAGAATTTCTGGACCGAATATTGGTGTTGACGCCTAAAACTGACATGGATCAGCCACTGTGCTTCACAGAGTAATTATAAACTCTAACTTTCAAGTAATGCTGGTTACTACATTCGAAACTCGAAGTTGTAAGTTGAAAATGGTCACAAACTGATATAATCTTAAGATGTCTTAACGAATGGGTTTAGAGAATATTTTGAGACGAATGATGCGATCGCTTGTCAAGGCCTGGATGGTGAAAACCTCTACCAAAATAAGATTTTTTTTTAAATACAAGGCAACCCGAAGAGGTCTATAAAATGTGGTTCATTTGGTCTTGTGGGAAATTTTTACAAATAATACTAATTCATACCCACGAAATTTAAGAGCAATATACTGCCGACTATAAAGAAGTTCGTATAACAATAAACGCTCTGAAGAACAACAAAGTGGCGGGATCCGATGGATTGCTAGCCGAGCTATTCAAACATGGCGGCGAAGAACTGATAAGGAGCATGCATCAGCTTCTTTGTAAAATATGGTCGGACGAAAGCAGGCCCAAAGATTGGAACTTAAGGGTGCTGTGCCAAGTTCACAAAAAGTGAGCCCCACAATCTGCGCCAACTACCGTGGTATAAGCCTCCTGAATATCGCATATACGGTCCAATCGAACGTATTGTGTGAAAGATTAAAGCCCACCCTCAACAAACTGATTGGACCTTATCAGTATGGCCTTAGAATTGGAGATTCAATAACTGGATCGACACCCACCACCTCCTTTTCGTTATCATGGCACTATGTCTGAATTCATACACTAACGTGGAGCAATATCAAAAGCACCATCACGCTCGTGCCATTTCTTTAATTTATTTCTGGAGAAAATAATTTCATCAGCAGAGCTGAACAGAGAAGTTACAATCTTCTATAAGAGTGTCAGCCTCGAAATAAATCGTGGAATCACTTTTGCCAACAGGTACTACTTCGGACTGAGTTAGCAATTGAGGAATAAAGCCGAAACTCTCTAAGTCTGAAGATTTATGGTACGTATTGACAACGGCGAATATCGCAGTCGATGGAACGATGAGCTGCACGAGATATACGTCCACATTGGCATAGTTCATCCGAAAGGGTAAAAACACTCTAGTTCTGAGAGTATTTGACGCAGTACCCGCCGCGAGAAGCAGAGGAAAAGGAAGACCTCCACTCCATTACAGAGATCAGGTGAAGAAGGATCTGGTTACACTTGCAATCTCTAATTGGCGCCAAACAGCGAAAAGGAAGAACGACTGGCTGGGTGTCAACTAAGCGATCTCTACACCAATAGAGAAGAAGAAAAAGTCTATTGCCATTTGAGAAGAGCAGATTTGCATTTTAATTCAGATTTATAAAGCCGTCCTTGTACATATACATACGGAAGCAACGACGCGAGGCAAAATGCGGTGAAATATGGAACCTCAGAGTGCAGCGTAGTGCAAAAGGTGAACAAGTGCTAAACCATGACCATGACAGTAAAAAGAGCAAATTGAACTCCTGTGGCAGCTGCAACTCCTATGGCAACCTTTGTAGCAGTTGCTACGGCACGCACCTATTTATGCTGCAACCCTCGGTGCTATAACCGTTATTGAGGGTGCTGTTGCTGCAATTGAGTTTGTGAGCCAACTCTGCAGACGCTCTGACAATCACAAAATATAAAAACAAAAATTAAAGAGTAAAGGGAAAGAGGAAGAAAACAAAAGCGCGAAAATTGAAACGAACACCAGAGAGGAACGCAGCGAACGGAGGCTACGGGGCAGCTTGTGGCGTTGTGACAGAAGCGAATGGTTTACCAAAGACGCTGTAAAGGGTTGTGTTGCACCGGCCGGTTGGTGCCTGCTGGAGCGTGGCTAAGAGCTTCGAATTGTTCATATGAATAAAGATGAAAACATCATGTAAATGCTTGTAATTTTTTCTTCACATGCAGTGTTGTGAAGGGCGAACATACATTGGTGTTATGTAAGAGAATGGAATTAATTGCTGGGAATCAAATGTTTGTAGTTATGATAACTTAATCATGCCCTAGCCTTCAAATATCAGACAAGGCTTTGTGTCACTTTTTTCTATACCCGAAAATAAATTGAATCTTAAAGGGCCGTCTTTTTACAAGATAAATGAAAATCGCTTGAAGTCGTGGGAGTGAAACTGCTTCTGAGCCGGATCGTGTGCCATCGAACGGAACAAATAACAATCCAATGGTGCAATATCTGGGCAATATGATGGCTGGGGTAGGTCTTTAAGCCTTGGCGAGTATATTTCAACGGATTTGGCAACGTGACTCGTGCCACTACTGGTATTGATAAGGAAATCAGCGGACTGAAAAAAGAAAACCAACACTCTTGGCAAAAAATCGGAATGTTCGTACATAAAAAACATATGACACATAAAACATCTCATTGATAAATACCACACTATCACTCTACTAAATAAGTTTTTTTACAGACTAGAATATCAATCGATTACAATGCATAATTTTAAACATAAAAATCATAAATAACTGTTTATTCGATGGAGATGAGCAGAGCTGCAGCAACACGTGCTGAAATTATAGACCGATTTTCAAAGAAGAAAAAGTAAATGCTTAAAAATACAATGAGATTTATTGCTTTTAACAAGTTGGGGCATCATTAGTCAATTTCTGCAAAAGAAAATTTCTGGACGTATGTGGTCAAAAGGCGATTTTGACTCTCTAATTTTCACTATCGCAGGAACCTTTAATAAGAATAATTTGAAAACCAAAATTAACGCCAGCAATTTCGAAATATCGCAGAGCTAAAGCCAAACATTATATGTTTTGTGTAATACAACCGTATTCCTATATCCCTCGAATGCTCAAAAAACAACTGAAATACGATTCAAAATGAGTTGCAGGAGAGGAAAAAAGTGTGTTGTAAAAAGTCCCTGAAAAATATTTAATATAAAAATATTTAATAAGATAAATATTTTGTTATGTTATGTAATGTTAACACAACGAAATAATAGATGTCACGACTGTACTGTATCTGCGAAAAACATAGCACAATGTGTAGATAAAGTCATGGTTAAGTGGGAGCCCAATACAATCAATTTCAGTTTGGTGAGCAAGAAAAATCACACTAAGCTAAATCTGGTGATACGGTGGTTGATCGATGGTGTTTTTGGCTTCAAATTCGGTCACAATCGTGGCTCGATGTGATAGTGAATTATCATTTTGTAAAATCCATGTTCATAAAGTCCATTGTTCTTCCACAATTCCGACCATTTTCCATGGACGTTCTCACGAAAACGACTCAATACGGCCAATAGAACTCTGTCGCTTCAGTATATATTCACCAAACCACCAATAACGAAAAAAATGAGCATGGTTTTGATTTTTAAATAGCTTTAGTGTGGTTTTTTTTTTGGTTTTTGGCTCGTTTCTTCTATTCCGACGATTGTAGACTTGTTTGCATGTAAAACTCATAAATCCAAAAAGAGATGTTTAAAATACACTATTTGATAAAAAAAAAATCAGCTTTTTCGGGACGAGTCAAGCAAGAACGCATACGCAAAATACCCGCCAGAATCATTCGAATATACTAGCGAGAGATGTCGAGCTCTTTTGCCATCTCTTTAATACTTACATGACGATTTCCAAGCACCATATTCTTCACTTTCTTAATATTTTCATTAGGAAGGTCATTCGAAGGTCGTTTAGAACGAGGCGTTCAAAGATTTCACCAATTCCATTAGAAATACAAAATTGGAGACAAAGTCTTTGCTCGATATTTTTATCAGTTGTAAAAATCGCAGCGCACCGACTTAAGCAGGTGGTGTAAACAAGCTGGTCGACAGATCGTGCTCATATTTAGCATAGCAATTAAGGACAGTCCTACTAACTTTTCAAAATATAATTTACCCAGGGAATTTAATTACAATTTCCGCGTGCTTTTTTGTCACAATTAATATGGAAATCAGAAGAAGTATTGGTACGACCGTATCCAGTTTAGTCACAAAGCTGCACTGCTACTAGGAAGAGATTCACTCTGAATTTGTATGTGCTATATAGCATAGAAGTTCAAGATTCGCTATTTGCCAAATAGCCATAGAAAATATTGATCTGATTTTAGCTATTTTTGACACAACGGTACATTTATATGAGCAACAGGCTCAACTCAAATTATTGATATATTTTGTATTTGCACTCAAAATCCTAAAGAGGATACCGCAACTACCTCACAGACCTCTTACCACATCAGTCTCCAATTTTTTTCTTCAACTTTGTAGTGTAGTGTTATTGGTGCTTGTCGAAATTTAATTTCATTATTTAATTAAGATATATATACTTATATAAAATCTATTGAGTTGGATGCCTTCGGTGGGATCAATAAAAAAATTGTTTATTTGAAAGAGTGGTGTGAATTTAATTTACTTTTCGGTTTAAAAGTTCGCTGTAAACGCTTTTAGAAACGCCAAAGCAGCAAAAGTGAAATAAAATCAGCAATTGGAAGGCACGACATAAGGCAGAAGAGGGTAAAAAAACCGCCTACATATTATCACACGGTGATCGTTGTAAGACAACACGCTGAGCGTAAGAGGAAGTATAATTTACTTAAAGAATGAGGCCGTCTAGGTCACCGAACAAGCGTCGAATGCGTGCCACTTGCACTTGAATTTCATTTTACTAAGCTTCGCTTAATTTTCATTTTGTGTCTTTTGCAGTCTTTTTCTTTTTCCATTACAACTAATACTCGTATCTCTTCTGGTAGCGTACGACTGTCTTTGCTAAGCACACTCAGTTTGCTATGTGTGCTGTATAAATTTGGCTATGAGTGAAAGTACTTACTTCTACTTGACGATGCGCTAACATATGCCGAAGAGCGTCGCTTCAGTCCACTTGTGCCGTCATTATTGCTCCCGACGGGCAGAAATCGCGATAGTGAGAGCAACGTTTTGAAGAGGTCAGTCACGTTTTGATCCTCCTTGGCGGAGCACTCCAGCACTTTCGCTCTGTAAGTGAGAAAGTAATGTAACTGAATTAAATTGGAGGGCTCAAGGAGACAAAAAGTGAGTGTACAAAAACAATTGAATTTTTTTATAGTTGATAGTCGTAGTAAATAAGTAATGAAAGTGAAAATATGTTGATTTAATCGAAAAAAAAGTTAACAACTGTAAAAAAAACTCCTTTCGAAAACTTGATTTTAATCGTTCACTTTGTATGGCAGTTATATGCTATAGACATCCGATCGGAACAATTTCGATGGTTTATTGGACCAGAGGAATTACGTATTTTTTGGTAGACTAGGTTTTTGGAAACCATAGTCTGTTACTGATCTGTGGGATCATATTGTAATAGTTTTTCCTGACGTTACAAGCCGGTGGACTACTTAAATGAAATATAAGCTCAAAATTTAAAGGCATTTTTGATAGAAAGCAGCACCTAATAAAAGCACTGAATAATCGCACACATCTTCACTTTCGCACATTTACATTTATCGACAACAATCTTGCGCGCTACGCTCGGCTTTTTAACCAAAATCATCCGGATACTGTTTCGTCCGCTCGCCGTGGATTTCAATCGTACATACGCACGTAGCGAGTACATTTGAATTTTTTTTTCGAAATTACTTTTGTAAATTAAAATTAACTTATGTAAAATAAAAAAAACGAGCATTTTTTCTTGCCTCCGCTTTAACATTTAGGTTGCATGCTTATTTCCCCCACTGTTGGATGCCACTAGTCGTAATAACTTAATATATTCCCATACACAAACAAATCAATGCTGCCAAGTTTTACCACTTCATCGCTCTCTCGCACTTGTTTCGATAAGTTCCTCAAAAATTTTCAGTAATTACATTTCATGTAAGATTGCCACTCACTAATTGGTGCCAGCAGTCTTTGCTCTAGCTCGTGCCACTTACGTATATGTATGTACTAGCATTGAAACTGATTTAAGTACTTAAGTGCCTGCTTAATGCTGTTCGCAACTAACTGTTTCAGCTTGCTAAATAGGCGACTTGCAGCCACTTCAGCCAGTGAATAACATCGAAATAGGTAGGCATTAACCTGAAGCATCTGTAAGTATACACATACGATATGTACATACATATAAAATACAAAAGCCGTAATTGAGTAGATTGACCGAAAGTTACGTATATAAAGTCGTGTCAAGTTTAGAGTGTACACGAAGACCACCCGACCGTGGAGAGTGGATTTGGCGTCGTTCGCAGCAATTCGAACTGGCGTATAGAACGACTTGGCGTATTTTATGTCGAGATCTTAAGACCATTTAATGCCTGAAATCAGAGCTCGTGATCTCGACAACATTTGGATTCAACAAGACGGCGGCACTTCCCACACAACGCACCAATCAATGGATTTATTGTCAGAACACTTTAGTGAGCAATATTTTCACGTTTCGAGCCGGTCGATTGGCCACCAAGGTCGTTTAAAGTCACACCGTTTTTCTTTAACAAAGTGGGGTATCATGAAATGGATCTCCCTTTGTATCGAAATATCAGATTTTTAATGGGATATTCTTTCATTTTTGTGTAGCAGCAATTTAAAAACAAAAAATAGTTTATGCATGTATATGGAATGCAAAGAAGCAATATTAGTTAATCGATGGCTGAATAAAATTAGTGAACTGAATTGTGGAGCCTTTTCGGTCGCTTTCAGTGAAACGATATCGGTAGAAAACAATGTATGAGAACTTTTTGAACAAGAAACGAAGATCTCATAGTAAACTTCGGGTATAAATGGATATTTCAATCTTCCATACGAGCTTAAGGATAACGGAGTTTGGTGAGGAAGAGAGTCAGTTATAATATAGAAATAGGTTACATTTAGCTTTAAGAAAAATGCCATCTCCGAGCTGTCTGCCTTTAAACTATATTTTGAAAATTCTTGTGATATCTCATCCAAACCGATTACGATGATTATGTTGAATGTATATGTGGATCATGGAAATGTTTTTGCTTTGGTGTAAGCATTTAAAAAAAGAACATTTCTGTTCCTCTGTCTCAATATTATTGATATGACTCTAAACGGTCTGCACTCGTATTTAAGACGACATAACTTCTACGACTACTGTGTGAAACATATTGCTACTTTATTCGAAAACTTTCCTCGAAACAAAGCCGAACATTTTGAATATTTACCCATTTGCCGAACTTTAAAGTTTCAGCAGCCGTCAATATGAACTTAGCATTTGAAAATTTGATTATTTGTTTGCGTGGAACTGACATGCATTTTATTTTTGGCATGAAAATATTCGCCTGTACTGGTAGTACGGCTGCAATTTTTTTACGAGTTCGAAAAAGCTAGGTGCACCGTCGACGGAACAACACACATACATGCAAAGAAATAATTACATAAAAGGTCATTTGAAAAGTCACCGGTCTTACATAAAGATGGCGCTACAAGAATTAAATCCATATGACTTTGAGCTAGCCCTAACTTTCAAAAGAGGCGAAGAAAAAATTTGGTTTGGCGTGGTGGAGCACCGCAGGCGGTGCACGAAGTGAACGTTCAAAGAAAAATAATTTTGAACGACCGTAAAGTGAAGTTGTTGCAGACAGCAGGCACTCTACAGATATCAGCTGAAAAGAGTATATCATTGACGAATAACTATTTGGGCATGAGAAAGCTCTGTGTATGGCGCAAATACCGCCCGAACTCACTTTTGAAAAAAAAAAAATTACGAGTTGATGATTTGAAGCAGTGCTTGGGGACTTTCCAGCGCAATAAACACCAGTTTTCCATCGATATGTGATAATGGATAAAACATGACTCCATCATTTCATTTCGAAGTTCAATCAACAGTCATCCGAGTGGACTGCACACGATGAACCTCAAAAGAATGCTCATTGGGAAGAATTTTTGGTCGAATAAAGAGATGATCGCGGAAACTTAGGTGTATTTTGAAGTATAAAGAACAAAGCGTACTACAAAAATGGTATCAAGAAATTGGAAGGTCTTCCTACATGGAGTAGTCCTTGAAGGAGAATTCACTATGTCTGTCGAATAAAGAATAAGCGAATTTTCCACAAAAAATTAATATTATCATGGCAGGTCGGGGACTTTCCAATTGAAATGTTATGGGCTCTGGACTCTAGAAAATATGTGTGCGTTATATGTTTGTTGGTGGCGTAAAATTCCTGTCAACTATGTAGAAAACCTACAAAGTTACTAACAACGGCAATGCTTCCCATACGACGCGTTGTAGCAGCAACGCTACGTTCAGCATTGCGTCGTAAAGTTGTTGCTACAAAGTTGCTGCTATGTTGCCGGCGTTATTTGCCGCGCTGATCGATGCAGGAGTGGACTTTGAAACTTTCGGTTGGCTGCAGGCGCTTGCGGTTGTTGCTGACCTCACACGCAATTGTGGCTATGCAGCAAGGAAATGTTTGCAAATGCTCTATGTGTGCATGTGTGCGTCACAGTGGGTGTGGTGTCTACTTGCACAGCATTCAACAGCTGTCCAACTGGTTGAGAAACTTTAAGTGAGCATCAAATTTGTATTTCCACTCGCCTGCGCTCGTTCGCAGCGAAAGCTCGATAAAGCGCGCAGTGGCGTAGAATTGAAAACATATGGAATAAGGCTGGGTGTACAAAGTAGATTATGCTTTCGCACACAACTATGAATTGGCCATATGTTTACGTTAAATATTTGTGCCAGACAGACTGGACATCTCTTCGCAGCAGAACAAAGGTGAGTAGTTAACTGTGAGTGAACTGCGAGCTACGTGGAATGAAGTCTGAGTCATTTAAAATTCCATAAATATTAGGTGATTTTAATCCCAATTTTTCATACCTATTTACCAAATCCCAATAGTCTGTTGGAAGCGGCTTGTTTTATGTTAAATCATCGAATCTTCGAATGGTAGGTGCCATTCCCCAACAAGACCGTGGAATCTGGTGAAGGCTATATTTTTTAAAAAATGATATCTATAGTTCAAGAGAAACCCGACGCCAACATAGCAAGCAAGATTTAGGAACAAAAGCAATTACACTGTGAGTTGATTATCGACGTCCGACAACTCACAAAAATAGATCGGGCTGTCAGATCGATTATCTCCTTGCTACTAGAGGGGATCTCTGCTACCTCTTGAAACCATATTCTTCTTCTACTTTACTGGCGTAAACTTCGCTTACGCGGTTATAGCCCAGTTAACAACAACGCGCTAGTCATTTCTCCTTTTTGAAATGTGGCTCCAATTGGATTTAGCAAGCCAGGTCCTTACTTGGTCCTTCGAACTGAGTGGAGGTCTTCCTCATCCTCTACTTCGCCCGTCGGGTACTGCTTTGAAATCTTTCTGAGCTGGACGGTTTTCGCCCATTCGGACGACGTGACTTAGCCAGCGTAATGGCTGTCTCTTAATTCGCTGAACTATGTCAATGACGTCATATATCTCATACAGCTCATAGTTCCATCGAGTGCGGTATTCGTCATCTCTAATGGGCAAAATACCATAAATCTTCTTCCGCTGAACCTTTCTCTCGCAAACTCGTAAGTTCGACTCATCAAATGTTGGCATCGTCCATGCCTCTGCAACATATAGCAGGACGGAAATTATGAGTGACTTATAGAGTTTGGTTTTTGTTCGTCGACAGAGGTCTTTACTTCTCAATTACCTACTCAGTCCGAAGTCGAACCATATTAAACTTTACACATTTCTGCATATGTCAGAGAGTAAGCTGCTTCCTCTCAATACTCTCTCTCACCCCTAACTGTTCGTTTAACGACAGCTAAATAGTCTGTGTGCCCGACCATCTTTGCTTAATATAAATAGAGTAAGGACAGCTGATACAAGTAGTTTTTTTAACTGTAACCCAAAGAGAAATATATATCTGAGGTCAGAGTGTTGCGATACAGAATAATTCGGAAATGGATCTATCCGACAGATCTTACCTAAAGACAATGTATTGTCAAGCTCCGAAAGAAGGTTTTCAGGTTCAACAGATTCAGTAATGTTCATTATTTGCCGTACGGCCGAGCCTTTATATAA